TATATATATATAGTGTAGTTTATCTTTAGTGTGTTGTTGTTGTTTTGTGGTTGTTATTGTGCTGAAGAGTCTCTTATGGTAATATGCAATAGTAACTGACAACACAAACTTGTTGTAGTCTTTTTTGAATTAATGTGAGGAAATGTTTTCTTTTGTTTTATTATTTTTTGTTATGTTTGTTTGTTATGGCTTTAAATATCTGATGCCGTTGTGTTTAATGTATGTGACAGATCATAATACAGACAAAAACACAAGCACACAGATCTAAATCTGACTTGCTGCAAAAAAATAAAAATAAAAAATAATAATACAGAGGCTAAATGCAGAGATTAAAATCTTACCAGTTTGTGTGAATTCCTTTTGTGGAACGTTGTCTCGGCATAAGTTAATTCTTCATCACAAGTCTGAACTGTTTAAAGAAATTAATTCAAAATATTTAATTCTGCAATTTTAAAAACAGCATTTATGAATATGACATAAAAAGTCTCTAGCAGAGTATGCAATAATTACATTTAGAACAATATTCTTGACTTAATGTTCACTGATGCTCAAGAAATGAAGCATCGTCATTCATAGAAATGTTCATTTGAACACCAGCAAAGGCCTGAATCTTTTGGAACGTTGTCTCGGCATAAGTTAATTCTTCATCACAAGTCTGAACTGTTTAAAGAAATTAATTCAAAATATTTAATTCTGCAATTTTAAAAACAGCATTTATGAATATGACATAAAAAGTCTCTAGCAGAGTATGCAATAATTACATTTAGAACAATATTCTTGACTTAATGTTCACTGATGCTCAAGAAATGAAGCATCGTCATTCATAGAAATGTTCATTTGAACACCAGCAAAGGCCTGAATCTTTAAACACATAAGATCTCTACTGCTATCAATTGATTAAAACATTCAGAGTATTTTTATTACAATCACAGTAAAAACAGTAGGTAACATTTGCCTTCTCTATCAGTTTTTGTACATTTCCTGTAGGTCCAGAAGATCATGACTGCAGCTACAATCAACAGAGATCCAGCAGCAGCAACAGAGATCAACACTTTTAGAAGTGAGCCTTGTTCTGTAGGAGAGTGTGGGTCCAGTACTGTAAGGTTAAAGGCAGAAGTGAATGTGTCTGACCTACAACAAAAGACAGAGATCAGATCACAAAACCGCTGCTTTACCTAAACATGGTTGACAGAGTTGAGTGATGTTGATGTTGTGTTGAGTCTGGTTGCTGAAGGGATTGTTGAGCACACAGCTGTAGGTGTTGTTATCCTGATATTCCACCTCCAGAGGTAGAGAGAGACTGATGCTGAGATCAGACACACTGATGCTGGACAATAAACTGTTTCCTTTGTACCAGGAGAGAGTCACATGACTCACATTCACCACTGAACACTGCAGTGAACAATTCTGCTGTGATGATGGTGATGATGATGAAGAGCATTGTGAAGAGTTACTGCTAATGACAGGAACAGGCAGACGAGCTGAAAACACGAGAGAATGAAAAGTAATACAGATAAATCTAATCATGTTGAGTGTTTAGAGTGTTGACAGTTAGAGAGTGTGTCTGTGATCTCAAAATATAAAATTATCAAACATGTAAATAGTTACAAAATAAGAATATTTGAGGATCATCACAAATGATCTCTACTCACCATAAACAGAAACATTGAATGTTTTTGATATCAGTTTCGCTCCCCTTATCTCTATTTTATAGAGTCCAGCAAGTTGAGTTGTGATGTTTGTGATGGTCAGAGATCCAGTCTGATTGTCCAGCTTCAGTCTGTCTCTGAATCTCTCATCAGGAACATCATATCTAGAGATGTGTTTCTTTCTTTTAGTTGTAGTTATTAAAACATTTTCTCTTCCAAATTTCCACACTATGTTGTAATTTTCCTGTATTTCAGTAACATCAGTGTTTAAAGTAACAGAATCTCCCTCCATCACTGACACCATCTGTATTTTATTTGTTTCAGCACCAAACACACCTGAAGAACATTAACAGGAACAAATGAAAGCTTCTGATGGTTTCTAAAGCCTGAAATCAGCTGTAAATTTAATTGTTTAAATATGAACCAAATAACATACAGAACAGCAGCAAAGACACAGAAGCAAAGTGAAAGGTGAAATACGTGAAAAGACAGATAATCATGAACCAATAATTTGATCTTTATATATTTTAAACTTATTTAGAGTATAATCAGTGTGTGAAGTTATATAATTTATGGTAGTTATTTATGATTATAGCTGGAGTATTTAAAAATATATATATTTTTGAGAAATTGCTGGCAAGAATTTGCAGTTACAGTTTTTTAAATAAAGATATTTAATTTAACATCAGTAGCCTGAAATTTGAAAGTAGTTCAATGGTGGTTTTGGCTTTTGATCAGGAGACATTTACAGTCACGATAAAAGTCCTGGAAATTTCAAATTAAAATTCTGATTAAACAGACATGTGAATTCAAAGTAAGTAAATCTTAAAATCTGAACAAAAATCCTCAGCAAAAATGCTTTTATAACTTACCCATCAGACTCGACAAGCACAAACAGAACAAGCAGAACAAAACAAGTGTGTGAAGCATGTTCTTTAAGGGTTCAGTGAAAAGACTGATCTAATGTCCGCTGCTGTCTGCTGAAGACTGTCAACCTGTTGATGAATCCTCCCCCAACAGAGTTTGATGCTCAGTTCACATGCTCTAAACGCCTTCAAAATATATATATGTATGTATGTATGTATGTATGTATGTATGTATATATATATATATATATATATATATCCCACTGATGCATCGTGGTCACTACAGGGGACAGATATTTGGAAGCCAATTTGAACCATTAAAGATGCAGCATCATGTCCCAACCACCAACTGGCGAACCCCCAAAGTGTTGTCTACGATTCCATTTAATTGTTATCTTTTTATCTATTTTTTTTGTTTTCAGATATTGCATAATATATTCAAAATGGCGGCAGGAAAATGGGATGCACCATGTGCCTCAGGGATAAGTGTTAAATCCTTTTATTCCCAGAAAACCTGTGTTTTCTGAAGTCCACAGTCAACGCAGCCATCTACCAGGAAATTTTAGAGCACTTCATGCTTCCTTCTGCTGACAAGCTTTATGGAGATGCTGATTTCATTTTCCAGCAGGACTTGGCACCTGCCCACACTGAGTATGCTAAGGAGCGTAACATTTCCATCTCATGCTTGAGGTATTCGGCCAATCACAACGCACTGGATAGCTGGCCAATCAGAGCACACCTCGCTTTTTCAGACCGATGTGCTTTGTAAAAATCGACGCATTTCAGAAAGGCGGGGCATAGAGGAGAAACAATAATGTACATTATATGGAAAATAATGTGTTTTTTGAACCTTAAACCGCATAAACACATTGCATTACACCAAATACACAAAATAATGTTATTTTTAGCAGAATCATATGACCCCTTTAATGTTAGTTTTTCTCTGTTGTTGTAATTGTGTTTGTAAAACACATTTGTTATGACAAGAAAAGCTGAGAAAAATTTTAATGAAGTGGTCTTAATAGCTATTGGTGATGATGTAATGATAATTTCATGACCTAATTCACTGATTTCAATTAGTGTCCAATTATATGGGTCAATTAATTTCGTTGTTCATGGTACTGATATGAATCTACAAGATACATTGACAAGCTATTGTGAAGGTATTTAAAAACATTTTATGCACAAACCTTTAAAGCTACAGCACCGTTTAGACACACACAGACATCAATAATCAGCACATGAATTTCAACAATGGTGACTATTAATAAAATAAAATAAAAATCATGCCACAATGCAACTATGGCAGAACTTAAACACACACAGACATCAACATTCAGCCTATGAATCTCAACATTGGTGACAATCAAAATAAAATTTAATTGTGCAATGTATGCTGGGAGTTTTGTACTGGCACCCAGCATGCATTGCACAATGAAATTTTATTTTGATTGTATAAGTATCCCAGATGAATACTTATGCAATGGAATCATTTAAGTTTTTTATTTGTAATAAATTTGCAAAGATGTTTAAAACCTGTTTTTTGCTTTATCATTATGGTGTATGGAGTGTAGATTGATGTGGAAAAAAGTAATTTAGAGCAGTTTAACATAAGGCAGCAACATAAAACGTGAAAAAAATGAAGGGGTATGAATACTTTCGCAAGGCACTGTATATATATATATGTATGTATGTATATGTATATATATATGTATATATATATATATATATATATATAGTGGACATTCTGTATATAAATGAATGTTCATATGAACTGTTCATAATGGACAGTCTGTCTGACTGGTAAATATGTAAAAGTAGAAGAACATTACTCTAATAATATGAATATTAATCTAGTCAACTCTAGCGTTTTAAAAAATGATTGTATATATTCAGTTTAGTCAGTTGTTGTGCATGGAAATACAAAGTTTGAAAAGTTACAAAGTGTCTGCATCTAACATTAGTCTTACTTAATAGCAGCTTCTGAGTCAAACTGAAACCTGCTGCGGTCGGTTTTCTTCAGAAACGTGGTTTGTTCTGCTGGGTGGACAAACATCTTGTGCATGACAGAACAGCCATTTAGAGCATGAAGTTTGTAGGTTAAGAGCTTCTTCTTGCATTTATGCACCATTCAGACATTTTAACCTACAGAAGCATTGAACCAGGACAAGAAAGTGTAATAGAAACACAGTGATCATATTTAATGCATATTTATTTATTTATTTTTCTTCATATTTTATAATAAAATACTGTATCTGGAAAGCAGTTGGCAAACTCTCAGTAGCTTTTTTTAAAGTGCTCACACGCTAGACTGAATTCAGTGATATTCTTTGATAATGTAAATATTCTTTGCTGGCTGTATAATTTGTTCGATGCTTGTTGATCCATCGTCTTGAGAAGCGGGAAAGCTTCAGAAAACGGCTCATAAAAAGGAAGGGGACGTGAATGGTTTTTACAAGTCGGAATGTAAAATTACAGTAATATCGCGTGAACATTTCACATGAAATTCTGTCAGTGTGATGGGGAGATGTAGGGACGCACGCAAGAAAAATGCAACCGCACTAGGCTATATATTTCTGGTCAGTTTAATAAATAATTAATCACAAAACGATCATAAAAAATACGTATCTTGGGGATGATCAAGGGGCACAAGGAAAATCTCAGACCCGGCCCTGCTGCACCCTCAGCACCCCTAGTTCCCACGGCCATGGCACCACCTCTCTTGTGCGTGTTCTGAGTTGATATCCTGTGTTTCGGAGCAGCTCAAGCCGTTTATCATCGCGCTGTGAAAAATACAGACTACATACCGCTGCATGAGCATATGAAGATGCAAACCACAGATCTCAGCTGAATAAATCAACCCAATGTCGCGCTAGTAAGGTTTTGATAGATGACAATTGTAATCAAGGTAAAGGCGATTACAGTGACATACAAGAGTCGTATTAGGCACATGTTTATCCGTTATGTTTGATGCGCAAACGAACCGTGTAACGTTATGTGCGCTCTCGGCGCACTGATCACTAAAACATCATGTTTCTGCTTGAACACAGTTAAGTATATATACTTGGTTATATATACTTAAATATATTGACGTAGTTGTCAAAATTAATGTACAGCGAGTGTTTTATAAGGGATGCTCACCAAAGAGGCGTGTTTTGGAGGATTTTTGAGGATCGGTGGTGTTTATGTATGGTCGCCGTGATTTTGCCAAGACATGTTCCTGGATCAACATCTTTTGTTGATCCTGGATTAACATTACTGTCCAAAAATACAAACTTAACCCAATCCCTACCCCTAAACCTAACCTTACCCATACTTTATTCCTAAAATCAGAGGGAAATGATAGCTGATTAACAAGGGTGTAGAAGCACCTAATCCTGATTGTAAGCCTAAAACTGACATTTCCTGAAAAGTTATCTCTCAATTCTGATTGGTTGATTGGAATGATGTTCCAGGATCTACAAGGATGTTGATCCAGGAACATGTTGTACTTGGTCAAATCACGCTCACCGTTTAGGTACATGGGCATCAGACGCTCCAAACACAGACACAATCGCTTGCTCTGACAACTTTTTAATCACTGTTCACTAATAATGTCGAGCCGCCTTCAGATTGCTGAGCCTCCACACATGCAGAATGTTTCCATTTTTCATTTGTATTTTGGTGTGTTTAGTGATTCTGAATAGGGCCGTATAGTAGTTTATATGCAATCCTTTGGCTGTGGTCTTGTTTGGTATGACAGGTTGACTTGCGCTTATTTGTTAAAGTTACTTTATAATTGAGCTTTAGGTACTTTTAAGTACTTTTAAGTTGTAATGAATGCCTGCAGTGACATTTTTGCAATGTATGCAAAAAATAACATATTTAAATATTATCTTGAATTTGTTTTGTTTAAAAATAATTAAATGGAATTGAAAAGTAATAACGAGAATGCAAAGGTTTTTGTGAATAGAAAAGGTTGGGGGGGTTAAGTGATGTCTTAATCCACCTCAATGCAGTTCAAGTCTCGTCATCATGCAATAGTGTGAGTACAGTCAAATCAATAATATTATTGAATATTCAGTCTCTTTTAAACAAGCCAGAGGTGACAGTGGAACCCAAACTCCACCAGGTGACTGAAACTGAGAAAAAAAAAACACTTGGGAGAAACCAGGTTTAGTCGGCTCAGCTCTCCTCTGGCTAAATAAACAAAGATGGTGTGATTATGATTTCAGGCTGCATCACTAGTCAGAATGACAGAACTAGTCATCTAGACTATGACAGATGTTATATGGATAAATAAATGATAAAGCTTGGCTTATTGAATATCAGGTCCCTTTCTACGAAAGCACTTTTTGTAAATGATATGATCACTGATCATAAACTAGATGTGCTCTGTTTGACAGAAACCTGGCTAAAACCTGATGATTACATTATTTTAAATGAGTCTACCCCCCAA